TTCCTAAAAATATCATTATGAGCTTCTTGGCCTTCATCTCAAGATTCTACTTTTCAAATCTTTCATTCATTTCCAAGAGCTTCCACTCTCTCCTCTCTTACTTAGGGATCTACAAGCCTCAATCTCACCTCGAAACCAAACAATTCATCTACATATGCCTATGGTTCCCCACCTATAAATCTCCTAGCTGGTTTAGTCTTTTGATGAACCCTAACCAAGCCCTAACCGGTTACAACATTAAGGAGAAGGCAAGAGAGAATTTTGTGGTACCCCTACCATGTTCACAATCTTTTCCAATATCAAAACCAATCGTAGCCGTTGGTTCAAAGATCTACGTATTAGGTGGAGCCATCGATGACTTGCCATCTTCCGCGGTTCGGGTCCTAGATTGTCGGAGTCACACTTGGCACGCTGGTCCTAGCATGAAGATTGCTCGTAAAGACTCTGTTCTTGGTGTTCTGAATGGGAAGATATATGTATTTGGAGGGTGCAACGTAAACGAATCTAAAAATTGGGCTGAGGTATTTGACACAAAGACTCAAACTTGGGAAACTTTACCAAGGCCTCCTCGTGAGGTACGTCGCTCTTTTATTAAAAAAATGGTGGCATTTGAAGGTAAGTTTTACGTTGACGCGAGCAGAGGTGTGAGTTATGTGTATGTTTATGATCCGGAAGAAGGTACATGGGAATATTGTGGATGTGAACATAATAATTGGATGATAGATAGGAGGGATTGTTATGTGGTAAAGAATGTATTGTATCGTTATGGTTCCTTTTGGTTTGATTGGTATGACATGGAGAGTAGGAAGTGGAGAAACGTCAAAGGTTTGGAGGAACTACAGAGTAAGTTTCATAGTAGTGGGGGTTTGAGAGTTAGAGCTATGTTTGAAGCTAAATATGGTGGAAAACTTGTGATTTTTTGGGATGGGGTTGGGCTTCCAAAGCCTAGTCGAACTCGGAAAAGGAATATCTGGTGTGCAGAGATTGCGTTTGAAAGACGTCATGAAGATGAGATTTGGGGAAAGCTTGAATGGGTTGATGTTGTTCTAACGGTTCCCAATGCGTATAATTTCATGCGTTGTCTAGCCATATCGGTTTGATAGGCAATGCTCAGAAAATTTCCCTTTTTATAATGGATTACAATACATTTACAAGTTTTGAACCAACACAAAATCCTAATCGCATGTATTGTATTGTTATGGTTCTTTTTTAAATTGGAATGACATAAGAGTAGAAAGTGGAGAAACATCAAAGTTATTGTAAAGTAGAAAATATCTTAAATTACAGAAATCCAACACATCATCATAGTATATAAAACTAATAATGCAGTGTATAATCACTTTGGATATAAAAAATAACACTAGAATGTGTGAGTTATTGAAAACAAAATAAAAAAGGTTAAACCAACCAAAAGCACATTGATCATCTCGATAAGTTCGCATAAGTCGAGAGTGTATATGAAATAGGGACTGTGCGCATAACATCAACCCATTCAATCTGACCCCAAACTTCACCATCGTGGCTCTTATCAAGTGTAATCATAGCACACCAAATTTTCTTTCTTTGATCAAGTTGAGACAAGTCAGGAATAGTGTCCCAAAACATTACGAGCTTTCCACCATAAGTACCAATTTCAGTATCATTCATAGAATATGCATCAAGTCCACTCAAACCGTTGACCAATTTCCACTCTTGTGACTTTGTGTCATACCACTCGCATTCTTTATATAGTACATTCTCTATCATACACCAACTCTTCACCGTGAGTTCCCTGTCAACTTCCCATCTATTTTCCTTTACAAGGTAAACAAAGTTCTTCTTCTTTATTTTTTGAGAACGAACAAAGTTCTTCTTGGTCTTCACAACAATCTTTCCAGGCATGGGATCAAGCTTTTTATTTGAACAGAACCGGACTTCAGGGCCAGGGTCTGGTAAAGATTCCCAAGTTTGAGTCTTTGGATCAAAAACCTCCAYATATGATATAGATTCATGTGCACTACATCCTCCCATTACGTATATTTTGCCATCGAGGACACACGTAACTGCGTCCTCGCGAGCCACCGTCATGCTAGGGACTTCACGAGTCCTCTCAGTAGTCAGAGGGTTATAGGCCAACACACTCGACGAGGAAGAGTATTGCCCCACGAACACGTAGAATTCTGAACCAACTAGTTGGTGCATCATATTCGGTAGATCACGAGAATAAGAAGAGGGCACTGGTACTAATAAATTCCCAGTTGACTTTTCTTGAATGGTGCATTGGCTTAGGGTTTGATGATCAGGTTTTATCCAGAGACTAAACCACATGAGACCGGTGGGCGATTGTAGGCTGAGATAAACACATTCTTCTCGAGTGTTAAGTTGAGTTCGCGTCTTATAAAGCTTATCGGAGCGGAGGAGCCAGCGATAGCTATTGGAGATAAGAGAGAGCCTTGGGTAGTACGACTTGGATATGCGAGCCAAGCAACTCAAAATAATGTCCTCTGGTAGTGATGAAAACGACAT